GAGTTCTTTTTGCTGCTTGGGAATCATGACCGGAACCCAATTGCAGATTACTTAGGCTTGTGGTTATTTCATTGTCTGACGTTTTGGCATTTTCTCAGGTGTGACTTGTTAGTAGTCATTGCGGAGATGGACCGCATACTGCGACCTGGTGGATATGTTCTGATCCAGGACACTATGGAAATGATGAAGAAACTGAGACCAATACTTGAATCGCTTAGGTGGTCAGTTAACTTCTATCAAGGCCAATTTCTAGTTGGTAAGAAAAGTTTTTGGCGTCCGCAGGCTACCTAAATCAAGTCATGAATAAGAGTTCAAGTCATGAATAAGAATCGTAGAGTAGTACCAGCCATTTGGGTCTGTAGTGGTGGTGCTTCCCCACCCTCTACTATATTGGGTTCGAGACCCACTCTTTACAAAAACATGAAATAGAGGTTACAAGCATTTTCTTCCCTTTGTAAACTTGCTCTGGACAAGATACTGTCAGTACATGTTTTGGGGTTTAAACAAAAGTAAATAACTAACTTAGCCTATTTCCTATTAAGATTTGTAAGCATCAGATATAAGTTTTGCCACTTTCTATGGTTGTTTAAATTTACAGTCAAGTATTGATATTGTCTAAGGTTACAACAATAACAAAAAAGATACTTTGTTGATCTGAATAGCTTTGAATTTGAGGTAAGATGAGATTTTCAACTCTGCTATTTAGGTTGTAATTTCTGAGCTTGTACTCGTTAAATTATAATTTAATTAGTCAATAGGAAATTAAACCGGTTTGCACTCAAATCAAAAGCACTACTAGAAATTTAATTTTAATTCGTGACAGGCAAGTATACCCTCAAACTAAGAACTCAAGATAAAATTATCTTGTTCAAGATTTAGCAATTTTTTACTTCAATCAACAATATAACTAATTCTAAGTTAGTTAGAAGACAGTGATTATCACTAAACTAAATCCCGAAAATCCAGCATTTTCCAGAGTGAGAACTTTGGTTGGTTTGGTTGAGAGTGGGATGATTTGGTCACATGGTTTTACCAAGCACCTTCGACTTTAGCAGAAACTGCCTAATCCATGAATCCAGACAAATTTGTGCTCCTTCACTGAAGCTTCATGGCCACGGCCTTTGCCTCCAACTCTAAGCATGTTATCCAGTGTGCTTTGTATGTTTCTTTGTTCCGCAGCACACCTTGTTTTTCCTTTCACCTTCACACTTCATTACACGACATAAACAGCAACACCCGAAATTGATCATTACAAGCTGCTTCTATCAATAATATCCAGCAAATATCTGCAAATACAGGACCCAATTATTCAGCCTGAATAATATCGCGTTGGGGTGGTATAGAATCCGGTAATAAAGGTAATTCGAGTTGAAAAGAGCAACTACATGATAAGCCTCCATTTTTTTCAAGAAATTATTCTTTGAAAAAAAGGTTCTACCTATTGTAGCATCTGCCAGTCCAACGCAAGTGCAGTGCTTGCTAAAGGATGGCTGTCTGCTTCAAAGGACTCAAGTGGCTTGGCATGGAAAAGTCTATCAGAGCCATTAAGTCTCAAAATGCAGATCCAAGTGCTCAGAATATATAACACTATTGAAACCTGTATATTAATCTCATGCACAGTAATTATCAAGTACCCAGAATATGTTAGTGCTCTTTAACAAAAAGGAAAAGGATATGAAGTACCATGAATGCAAATATTATTCGAACATTTTGAAACAAGAAATTTACATTCAACAACATGATTTATTTACAGTTGAAAAGATGGTGCAAACTGAAGTACACCACACCCGAACAAGAAATGGAGATTATCCGCGCAACAGAGAAATTTGTTGGCACAAGCAAAAACAGTGCAGATTAATTGTTAGCACCTAAATTAAATGGAAGAGGAACATAAAAAAGTTGAATTGTCTTCGATAAGTCTCCCATTTAAGGCTGCAACATCTCTATTGTAGCAAATGAACTCATCTCCATAACTGTAACTCTGGTTGGTTCTTGATTCACCTGATAGAACAGAGTGATCCCTAATCTCCATCCACCCAGAAGAAGACTGGCTGTTATGAACATTACACAAAACACCACCAACAAAATGTCTCTCATTCAATGCATGAGAAACATTGGTGATAAGCAAATATGTGTCTTCACCGCTAAAACCAGGTAGTGTCCGAGTAATTACATCTAAAGGGTATTTCCTCTTAGTATTCACACGAATAATTGAAGCACCCAATTCTGTTTTCAACCTCATATCCTTCTCTGACTTAACTCTCTGCTGTGCCACTTTATAAGTTCCATTATTGGTGAATTTCACCAAGCTGGTCATCTTAAACTCCTGTGAAACAGTGTGGGTGAAATTACCTGCACTAGAGAAAACCCACCCAGAAAACTTACTGCTTCTCTTTGCTTTAATCTGAAATAACCCATCAAGTAATTTAAATTGTTCGCGTCGCCTGATGCTAAGAGAAGGACTACTATATACCACAGAGTTTGCTACAACTTTAGGCCATACATGATCTAACCACAAATGCAAATTAGCATCAACAAGCCAAAATGAAATGCCACTTGTCACTCCAATCCCAATTTGGTGAGACTTACCATCCACAAGAAGCCCTAAAAATGGTGTCAAATCAAAATCATATGAAGGTAAATTAAATGCACCAATGGCCACAACAGGTTCCCAAAACAATGGATTGATTCCGCCTGTGAAAATAACTGGAAATGGCACCTCCGATCCTGCATAATTCCCATCAATTGTAAAATAAACCTCTCTGTAAGCTGAATTGCCACGCCCAGTAGTCAAATTATTCGTTGTAATATATGAGCTTGGTGGATTTGAATACCAAAACTCATCGTTTCCATGAAAAGACACATACAGTTCCAGCATAAGTCGACGAGTATTGCGCGGAATTCGAATATTCTTATAATGTATATCCGATTCACTATCAATTCTAAACCAAAAGCCCCTGTCCCCATTATCCGATACCGGTATTATCAAATCAGCCGGTGATTGGTACTCCTGTCCAAACAATCCCGACGAACCCCGCACCATAACACCATTATCATCACCTAGATTTATCTGAGAGTTTACGAAGCCTAATTTTGACGTTCGGTTTAAAATTAACGGGACACTAACGGACGTGTTAGTATAAAAGACGAGATTAACGTGGATATGGTAAACGCCGGTGTACTCTCTGTTGACGACGTTTTCTAACATCATGGAGACATTGAGTCCATTTTGAGATAACAGAGAGGAGTACCTTGTACCGTCCTTACGGACTTTCCAGAAGATTCCGCACGGAGTCGGCTCGGCCGTGCTGGTGCGGAGCAGCTCGACGCCGCCGAGCCACAAGCCAGAGATGCGGTCATACTGTTCCCCGCTCGACTCGGCATGAAATTCGAGCACCACGCGGGACCACGGGGAGGGGCAATCGGACGGGGGAGAGTAAGGCGTGGTGAACGGAGGGGAGTTGATGGTGTTGGCGAAGGAGTGGTGGATGATCGTCAGATTGCATGACGGCGTGTGGAAATCGGACGGCAGAGGATGCGTAAGCTCCAAATATTCTTGGGGTTTGAGTTCACAGGATTGGGAAGATTTGATAAAACGGTCCGTAGAGGGAGGAGGGAAAGGGGAGTAAGCTGCACTGGCGGTGAGAAAGAGAAAGATGAGAAACAGAAATGTTTCCATTTTTTCCGATTTTTGAATTTTCCGTCTTTTTTCTGTTTTAGTAACTTTTTTTTGTGTAGTTGTATTGAGACTCTGGTTACTTAAGGAGTCTTTATCGGGCAAAAGGAGGCTATGGTGGGCCATGATGGTGGGGCCATTAAGCATGGTAACAAAATTATTATATTTTTAAATATGTCTTAATACATACATAAATTTTTTTTGACAATAATAAAGTTAATTTAAAATATATATTATTTTTATGATACAATTTTAAGGATAAGAATGTTTTAATCGCATAGAAATTAAATAAAATCTAAGCAAAAAGGAATTTGGCCTTTATTGCTTTAAACTCTGTCTGACTCATTCAAAATTGTCAACAGGCGGGCCTGAGTTGGCCAGATTAAGAACCAAGGCAGCCCAATTCGCCACTCCGGTCCCATATGGCTATATCATTATATTATTACTTCAAAAAACGGTTATGTAACGAAAAGGAGTATATGCTTATTTGACATCCTGTAGCACAAAACCTACTTTTTCACCTGTAGACACGTGTCCCCCCAGAAATTCTCTTTACAGGCCAAGGCAACTGAATCCTGTTGTGAACCGCTGGTAACTCTATAACCCGCGCTTTTCCTCTGTCTTCAATGTTCTCTCGCACACAAATCTAACAATACCTTTCATTTTTTTCAAACGCGAAAATTTTAGAGTGAGATTTGAGCTTGTTATTTTAAACGCCATTAACAAACCTCTGAGCTCTCTCAACTCTCTGTTGCCTCTGTTTGTTTATCTACTGTATTATTTTTTAAAATTTTGTTCGAGGAAATATGTTCTACTCACACCAGCTACTAGCTCGCAAAGCTCCTCTCGGCCAGATATGGTGTGATTCTTTTTTCTTCTTTAGCTTATTCTGATCTTTTCTTATGGTTTTTCTTCTCATTGCGTGAAGGTCAGGCTAAAATTCATGTTAGTGAGAATATAAGAATGCTACATTCTGAAATGGCGTTGTTCTCTTAAGCATTTAACCTTTATTTGTTGGCTTCTCTCTCATTTTTCTTCTTTACTAAAGGCGGGCTGCGACTATGAATGCGAAGATAAACCGGAGGAAGCTAGACAAGCTTGATCTGATCAAAATCTGGTTAATGTTTTTCTTCGATTGATTTTTCTCCACTTTTTTCCCCTCGATATAGTTTATCTAATGAGCTTACTATATTTATTTTTCATTTTTTAAAATTATTTTGGTGATTTTTCTTTGACAGTGAAGAGATCTTGAATCCTTCAATTCCCATGGCTCTTAGGCTCTCAGGGATTCTTATGGGTGATAATTTCAGTTTTAACCTCTGTTTTCTGGATGTGATAGCTTCAGCCTTAATATATGTTTCTAATGTAAGTCATAACATAGACGCATATTTTCTCTGTCCTCAGGCGGCGTAGTTATTGTATACCAGAGAAAAGTGAAGTTACTCTATGGTAATTTTTTGAATCCGTATTCTCTATTTCTCAAATTTAAATTTGAGTTTCGAAGCAACTTAGAATAAGCATGATCTAATGACCTTTTTATCCCCTTATCACAGAGGATGCTACCCGTCTCATGGTAAATCAATCATATATCCTCTATTTCCTTTCTTACTTTTTCTCATCCTCTTCGATTAAGGTAAGCATGTTGATATATTCTTTTTCTTTCCTTCTCTAGTTTCAATTGGATCTTCTTTTTTACTTTCCGCAGATTGAAATAAACCATGCATGGAAAGTCAAAGCAGAAAGGGATCCTACCATTCTTCCTCAGGGAAGAACCCAAGCCAAGTGCGCATCTCCTCTTGTTTTTCTCCCCTCCAGTCTAACCATATTTTAATTTCGAAACACTGTGGCCGTACAATTCGTACTTAAGAAAAACTAAATGATTTTTCACGGAAGAATTTTTTAGCATTAGCTTTAATTTTGAGAAGAGCATATAACACTAATAATTCTTGAGTTGGTCTAAAGCATCTGTGATCTTTGTTTTACAACTGGGCAGATGAACTATGTTAATTTCTCTGCACCATCTGACAAAAGAGAAACAAAAAACAAAAAAAAAATGGTAGAATGGTAGTTAAAATAGAATTGGCTTTTGTGGGATCTTCATGTTTGCAGGAAAGAAGCAGTTACCCTCTCTGACGTCCGAGAGCTAGATGTTGGAGATGAACAGTCACTTGACTTCTCTAATGGAAACACCGTAATGAGGTTCCAAAGCATGGACTATATTGCGATGGTAGAGTTTGTTTACACATAACCCTTCCATTTTTTTTTTTTTATAAAGTAAACTAAACGTACTTAATTTTGGAATAGCATCCTCGAGCCTTCATGTTTATGCTGGATTAAGATTATTTATGTACACGTTAATTATAATGAGAAATAACGTGGAAGCTAAACGTTTCACACATCAGACATGGATGCCGATTGGCCAGGACATGGATCTAAACATTATACACATCACCCATCGATACCTCGTCGTCCTTGTAAGTCAGGATGAAAGTCTTAAAATTCCATGTGCCTCACTAATAAATGGTTTCTCCCCTGTATTAAAAAGAAAAACATATTTTAGAATTTTACCAGGGGGTGGGATAGAATAATGTGTTAAAGCTTAAGTTAGCTCGTCTACCTTGCGTTATTTGCCCTTGAACCCAAAAGAAAATATAATATGTGTAAAATGAGAATGAATAAGTTTATTTATTAGAAAATTAGACGAAATAAATATTTTGTAAATATATGCAATATTAATTTTATTTCTTTTTGGAATGGTTGTTATTAAAATAAGAATGAAAAATTTATTTATTTAAAAAATTAGATGAAGTGAAATATTATATAGGCATATACAATATTAGTTTTCTCTCATATTTAGCATAATTATTATTAAATATATGCGATTAATTATTTTATATCTTAAATAAAATTATGAATCCTTATTTAATATTAACTTTATTTAAAGGTTTTTATGATAAAAATTGAACTGCAATCTTCTTTTTATTTATGCATGGTTATATTATTTACTTTTATTTATGCATGGTTGTATTATTCAGGTTGTCTTCAAATTAAATATAACGTGAATAATTTTTAAAGTATTGATTTTGCTTTTATTTATGTATGAGTTGCATTATATTCGTTGCCTTCGAATTAAATATATTGCATGTATGTTTGTGTATATTTTACTTATTTTGTTTTCAAAAAGTTGAGTTAAGATATATTTATTCAATTTATATTCTATAAATAGCTATAGGATTATCTTAAGGAGATTGCTCATCACTTGTATTTCTAACGTCCTCCTAGACATTGTTCTCGCATTGTTTCGCTTGTTTCGGTATAGAATTGATTCCTTCAATAGTATCCATCATGATGGAGATTTTGTTGAGCTTTCCTACTTTTCTGGAAAGTTATGACCAGTAAGAGAATATTTCTTCTTCTGACATCTAATTTTTTTCTAGTTCAAAATATCATTGAACGTGAAAATTAGTGATGGAAAGAAATAAGGTTATGATATTGTTAGGGAAATTCTCTGCTATTCTTTACGTCAAGCTAATTTAATCAAAACCTTCATGTGCTTGCAGAGGTTAGACAGTGTGGATGAGTCTTATATATATAACAATATTGAAGAGGAAGATCCACACAGACAATCTCATCAAGGTCTTCTTTTAATTTTGTTACTCCACAGATTGAAGTTAACAAATTATATATTTCCTCTCGCTAATTTCTGCAACCCTCGTAGCTGATCTTGAGAAGATCACAATTTGGGATCGTGCTAATCTCTTTGAAACGAATATGGAGATGCACGATCACTTTGAAAGGTTAGTTCTCAATCATTTGATCTTGATTTTTCTCCCTCTTTTATTTTTAAGTTTTCATAATATAATAAGTTGTTGGCAATTAACATATATAAATAAACACAATTTCCACCCAAAAAAAAGTAACACGATTCTTTATCCTTGCAATATATCTCTAGAATTTGATAATTCTTTGTCTGTTTTCTGTGTTTTCTTGGATGATGGAGCAGATTTGAAGTTGAAGGGGATGACGAAATGCCGATAAACTTCACTTCAGTAGATCATTCATGTGAAATCCCAACTCAGAAGCCATCTTCACCGCCACAAGGTGCTCCTGAAAGAGGTCATGAAACATTATGTCTTAAGCACTCTGGAATCTTTGCAAGTAAATATATGTTATCACATCTGTTTACTGTATAGTTAAGAAGTATACTGAGTGTTAGCGATGAAAAACTCTCCTCATGCTCAAATCCTGTGTTTCAATACTCCAATTTTCGCTGTTATGTACTATAGCAGACATTAAATGTTTCAGATATTTAGTAAAAGCTTGATTACCTTATTTTTCTTACCGAAATACGTTAGGTTCATGACCGCGATCTACATGCACTTTAGCCTTGTACATATGGAATCAAAAATTTAATCTATATATGCATATATTTTATTTATCGGCTGGTGCTAGTGTACACGCATGCACGAAGTCCTTAAGTAAGCCAAGTACTTGGCATTTCCATGTATAATAACCTCTTTCAAAGCATGTAGTTCTATTTCTCACTATAATCTAGCTAGTATTTCTGTGAAGGGCATAGACACGGATTAAGGTTTTTGTTTATCGCACATACGAAACTTATATCAGTAAGTAGAACCAATTGTAAAAATTAGAAGCCTAAATACCTATACTAACTTATAGACTTACTGCAGCTGCTGAGTTTGAAGTTCGAGAACAAGAATACCAAGTTGAACAAGAAACTGAGGTATTTAATAACGTTCTCAAGAATTAAAGACCCTGATAAAAGTATAAGCACTTAAACAACAGAACTGACATGAATTTGGTTTCGTGCAGGACCAGAATAAGCAAGCACGAGTAAGAAAAAAGGCGAGAATGAAGACAGCATCTATCATGGATTACGAACAAACAATTATCCCTGGCCATGTTTACCAGTCTTGGCTTCAAAACACTTCGGATATTATCTTCAGAAGAGGAAATCAGAGAAGGGTAAGTAGAGAGTTTTTACACATTTGCTATCATGTTTTTAGGATTGTCCGGTGTGTGCATGTCATCTAATTCCAGATTTCAGTAGAAAAATGTGGATTTCATACGAACTTTGCTTGTGAAAGGTTTATAAACAATATTATTCGCCTTGGACTAATTAGAGAAGAACATATGGTGCAGGAGTATTCTTGGCTGTCCAACTTAAATACAAACTTAGATTGGTCTTCTTGGCTATCCATGATAGCAGGAAATAAACCAAAAAAGGGGAACTAACCCCAAATAGAAGTTGTAAACAATATTGGACAAAAACACATATAATCCTAGGAAAGTTTGACAAGAAAGAATCTCAAACTCCAACAAATATCATAAGTTAAATTAGTGGGAGCCGGCATGAGGTTCTTATGTTCTCTGTGTTGCAGAAACGCAGATTTTCTACTTCAACTGTGAAACTGAATAACCTGATGAAGCTGCCACCAGTGGCACAAACAGATTATTCTTTTAAAATGGGAAATGGAGATGTCCCTTACCCTGCACCTCTTTTGAATCTCTGGTTGCAACATACCAAGTCTCCTGGTTAGAGCTTACCCATTTTTTTGCGTTTGAAATTTTCTCACGGGATGAAAGTGTAATGTTTGTCATACTGTATGCAGAGAGGTCATTTCCTCCCCTACCCCCAGAACATTCACCACCAGTGAGAGGGCATTATCATGAGCAAGTGAGAGATGTAAGTTACTAAAACAAATCTTTAAGTTGGTTTCCATATATTTATCTCTAATTGAGAGTTTAAATGCCAAGCCGTTGGAGGACTTTCAGAGCAGAGCCGGGTCCCAATCCCTTGGTGCTCCAACAGAAAGGCAACGAGCAACAATTTTTGAGGCTGATATATCAAGAGAGGGCTTACCTGATGAGCTGATAGGCAATCTTAATAACAATTTTTCTGGAGCAACTGCCGTCAATTTTATGGACTTCGGTATCTTAATAGCCACTACCTTAGCTACTTTCACTTCTCTTCTAACAAGCCTTAAGAATTCTCAGTGAATAATAGATTAATGATCTTAATTTTTGCTCCATGTGCACTTGCAAGCCGATGATGTGAGCTCCATTCCAAGCTCAGCATCTGGACATCGTTTACCATCATATAATTTAGAAGTTAATTTAGGACAAATGTCAGGTAATAGTCTTCCCAAAATACTCCTGTGAGGTCTTAACCGTTTATCTGAGGATTGACGAATGATAATTTGAGGTTTTTCTGATTGATGCAAACTTACAGGGGATCAACTGAGATCCATCCTAAGTACAGCACCTGGACAAGATATGCCATCATACGGTTCAGAAATCAGTTCAGGAAGGTTGGTACACGATATCATTTCACCCAAGGAAGAACAAAAGTGTCTTCTGAGAAAATCCGCTTTGATGCTCTGATAATTTCTGTCTTGAAATTGGAAGACTAGAGTTATGCACCATAAAAGCTTAGTCGAAATATGTTATTGGATGTCCCACGTGTTAACAGATCCAACAGGAGAGGTCCTAATTCTTCATCTAGAAACAGTAGACATGGCCTTGAACCAGTAGCTGAAGAGTATCCTGACCCAAATTTCAAGTTGTCTTCATTGACAGAAAATGGCATGATACCTGATCAAGGTACAATGGCTTCGGAAACCTCTTTTTTGCTGTAGCAATCATAATCATTGTTCTTTTTATTCATTTAAGAAGATTTTGTCACTCACTTTTTTCCCACAGAACTATTGGTGGAAACTGGACCTACACAAACTCAGTATCCAAATATCAACCACTCTGATGACAAGCTAACTGATTGTATCCGAATGTATAACCTCGTTTTCAATATCTTCATCACTTTACTTAAGCATGCACAGGCATGCCATGTATATGTATAATATTTATGTATATGGTTAAAATTTACTGATTCTTGAACTCGGAACCCAATTTTACAGGCAGATGAAAGCTCATTTTGAGACACCAGGAACTGCTCAAGTGGAATCCCTGAACAAGCTTGCAGCTGGAATGAACAGAAAAGCAGCAGCTCAGCTCTTTTATCAGACTTGTGGTACCCATTTTTTATTTCTACGTCCAGTTTATTATATTGTTATCCTTTCATTGATATCTAATTAAAACCAGTAATTACAACCAGATAATAGACTATGAAAAATTACCAACATAAACTAACTTGTGAACAGTGCTTGCTACCCGAGATTACTTGACAGTTGAACAAAATGTACCTTACGGTGACATTTTCATCTCTAGAGGAGCAAAGATGTGACGGGACAGAGTCAGGTCACAATCTAAACTTTGAAAATTTTCTTCTGTTAGTTTTCTTGGTGTAATTTTGCAGCTAGCTTATGATTTTATGACTAAAAACTAAAAAATTCCAAGAACCTAAGTTTAAATCTAAAACCTGTTAGTTGCATAAGACTGGAATACTCTCTTTTATCAATGAAATATACGCCATTGTTTCTTGGACTTAGCATTTTCTCTTTTTCCTTTTTTTGAGGAGTACAAGTTCTCTTATCTCTGGTGGTAGCCGGGTCGCCTAATTATTCAATTATTTACTAATAAAAAAAGCGGGTTTACCATTTTCTCGCCAAAAAGAGAAGATTAATAATGACAAAGATTGTATTGGCTAGTGAACAACCAACCACCAATTATAATTATTTATACCACTAAAGGCTAAAACAAGAGAAGGGCTCAATTCATTTCCCTTCTTATCTCGGATGCCCTTTCATTTGGAAGGTCATTTCATACCTTGAAATTTTTTTAAGACTTATCCTACCCAATTTCTTGATTAATATTTAATCTCCCTTATCTCCAAGAAATATAAATTTAATCCCCTAGTTTATTACCAACCCACACATTGCTCCTCCACCTAAGCTCTCCGTCTCTCTGTCTCTCTCTCACTCTCAAGACTGTCTCCCCTCATGTTGTCAAACTGGTTAAAGTCACATACTCGTAGGAGGTCTGAACCCCCCACACCCAGGACACCGAACTCATCATCGCGCTTCTCTTTCTCTTCTTTCAAAGACATTCAAGCAGTCCTTGACGAAGACACCCAGCCTGAACCTGAATCTCCCAAACGGATCTCCATTTTCAACCGGGTTCGGTTATCCAGATCCTTCTTCCGAGCCTTTACCCGCCGCAGCAGCAATGCGGTCTCACCTTCTTCACCACAGCCGTCAATCACCCTCCCCAACGTCGATCCATGTCGTATCATCGTCTACTTCACCAGTCTCCGCGTTGTCCGCAGGACCTTCGAGGACTGCAGGACAGTCAGATCAATCCTCAGGGGGTTCTGCGTCCCGATCGACGAACGCGATTTGTCGATGGACGCTGACTTCCTGGACGAGTTGCAGGAGATCACTGGTTCTAAAGACTTGTCTCTTCCCCGAGTTTTCATTGGCGGGAGGTACATTGGTGGTGCGGAGGAGGTTAAGCAGCTGAACGAGAGTGGCGAACTCTCGATGTTGATTGGTCGGTTGACCTTCGTAGACCCCACCCCTGTGTGTGATCTCTGTGGAGGACTGAGATTCGTCGTATGTGAACAGTGCTGTGGGAGCCACAAGATCTACTCTCGCAGAGGGTTCGTCCGCTGCATGGCTTGCAATTTGAATGGTCTGATCAGATGCTCCTCTTGCTGTCCCCTGTCCCGCCGATCCATCTGATCGCGGCTCCTCCAGTGCTGATCTGTCGTAGTAGACAACAATAGGCCCCTAATATGGTTATTTCTGATTTTCTTTCTAATTTCAAGTAATTTTTTATTTTCTTCATAAACCACAGTTAAATGGGGACAAATCCCAAGAGCAGTTCTGACTTTTCAGTCTGATAAAAACGGATGGATTTGTCTACTTGTTGATAAATTCTTATTTAATTAGGAATGATATCTTCGATATATTAATATAAAAACATATTATCCTTGATTTTGTTTTTATGCTTCTTTACTATCCGTGTATACTTTATTTGATGAATGATTATCAATCACGTAATCGGGCTGATTTTTTTTTGTCATTATGGTATTTGCATTTATTCTAAATTTCAGTTGTTAAAAATAGAGAATGCCTGGTATTTTTCATTTTGGTCAACGATTCTCATAACCTAGCTTCTCTTTTCCTATTTTTCCCTTTTGAAAAATAAAATATAGGAAGAGAATCAAGTGAATAACTCAATTTCTTTTTTATTTTTGTTGAGATGTTTGTCATTGTGAATTAATGTAACTTTTAAATGAATCATTTCATATAAATTTTTATATATAATTAAATAAAAATTATAATATATTAAAATAATAATAAATTAATAAATAGTTACGTGTATCTGTAAAGTAACTCAGTTGAATATAATATACTTTATAAAAAAATTTCAATAAAATTTCAAGTTTTTCTATTAAAAAAAAGTAAATATATAATACTATTAATCTTATTTAATAACATTCTATATGTTTAATATATAAATATCGTTGACTGTTTTATTTTAGTCAAACTAGCTATATAACCATTATTTGAAAATAAATAAATCTATTATTTGATTTGGCTATCACTTTATTCATTTTTATTAGTCAAAATAATACTTATTTTATTGATCTGCCACCTTCTTAGAGCTTCTTCATATTAATCTGAAACTGCGTACAATATACTATAGATTAAACACATCCAAACAATAAATTTTAAGAGTCTTAAAGGTTTGTTGATTTACGTTTAGGTACAATTTTAATTTGAGATACATATAAAGCTATAACTATTTTAAATTTAACTTTCATTCGATATCCATACAATTAAAATTTTCAATTATATATATATTCACTAACATCTTGTTTATGGAGAATATGTTCATTTTCTCTAATCAATTTTTTTATGTTAATTAGATTTTAAACTAATGAAAACATTATATAATATGTTTAATTAAAAGATTTTAGTAAATGTCTTGGTTTATGAATAAAAAGACACTTATGGATTTTGTATTGTTTGTACACTCTCTTTCTTTGAGTTAAATATTAGACTGTGATTCAAGATTGAAAATGTTCTATAATATTTGGAGCTTATAAATATTTTTTAGCAACTAGACTTCTTTTTCATGTAAACTAAGTCAATAGACTATTTATTAAGCATGCCTCCATAAACTAAAACACTTAAAACTACATATATACTATAAGAATTGCCTATGCATGTACTTATGTTGATAACTTAATTATTACGAGTTATATACTTTAAAGTATCAAACATCTACATACTATATAAAAAGTGTATAAATAGACTATTTTCTAATAATTATTATTCAAATTATCATATATTTAGAATTTTTATATAAAATTACATGAATAATATGAGTAAGAAAATAAAACATATCAACTCCAAGAAACAAGTTTACTGGTAATCAAACATCAATAAATACGTCATGTTTATAATTTGTTTCGATTAATAAGTGTATTTAACAATCATTATTTTGAATTTATATTACATCTTTCACTAGATTTAATTCATCTTCTTTATTTTTCATGCAAATTATGTTAAGGAACTATTCGTCAAAGCATGTATGCATATATTGTTTAGGATTACATACCATAAAAATTGTCCATGCATGTATTTAAGCAAATAGGTTAATCATTTAAGTAATATATTTTAAAATATTACAATATTACACACTATAAATTTTATTAAATAAATCCAACATTTAGAATTTGATTCGATTAATAAAGATATTTATAACTGAATTATTATTTTGAGCTTATATTGTATCTTTCACTAGACGTACTCCTTTTATTTTTATTTTTCATATAATTAGGTTAAAAGTTGTCAGATCATTTAATGTTATATATCATAAAAAAATTATCTATCTATGTACTTATAAATAAGTGACTAAATCATTTTTTTTTATTTTTTTTATGTCAATTACGTTAAAAAATATCTATTTAAAGCTGTTTAAAATTATATACCATAAAAAATTTTATGCAAGTATTTATTAGATAAGTTAATCATTTAAATAGTATATTTTAAAATATCGTACATTATATACTATATAAGAAATATATAAATTGATAAGTTCTCTTATTACATAAAATAAGACGTATTAATTCGAAAAATTAACTGAGTGGTAATCAAACATTAATTTATAGGTACGGTCTATAATTCGGCATTTTTGGGCAAAAATATATGTATTTTTAGAATGAATATTTTAGTGTGAGACATAAATGACTTACATTTAATTAAACTTGGAGTAATATTTAATCTCATGCAAAAGTTGAGATGATGATATCGTAACCACTCATCTTAGCAGAAAAGTATTAATCAGCAGATACTAAACAATCTTTCATTATTTACTTGGTCGTATTCCTTACTTCAAAAAGAATCCAATCTCCAGCAAGTAAAAGAGAAAATACACACAAAAAAAGCATACACATATGTATGTATATTTGATAATCACACAACTATAAAAATTAAGCTAGTGGCTGACATTCTAATAACTAAATTCTAACAATTGTCTATATACATACATATATATATATATATATATCTCGCTACAAGTTTCTTGAATCTATTGATTCAATTGCTATTGATGAGAAACTAAAATCTGAAAACATTTATGGAAGACCAAAATCTTAGAAAGATGTAAGTCTTTTGGTGAAGATTAGTTACTAGAAGTCTTCCTGAGATGGCTAAAGACCTTGTTAAAAGCTATCAATCATGTCTACTTCAATACATTATATATTAACCATATTGTCTACTTCATTCTAATAAATAATTATATATTAGTTTCTATAATGTATTAGAACTCCAGAAATTGTGTTTGAATTTAGTTTATTTCTTAATGATTGTGAAATAAATTTTAAATAAAAACATCTTTGAATTTAAGGATGGTAATAGAACAAGCTCAAGATGAATTTTATCAAACCCAAACCCAACATTAGATTTCCATTTATGAAGAGCAAATTTGAACTCATTCTGATTTTGATTTTTTCTTTAAATTTTAGATCATATCGTATTTATAGATTATTTAACTTGAGTCCGTTATAATTATTTTATTATATTAACATAAATATAATTATATTTATATTTAAAAAATTAAAATTATTTATTAATACATATATATTCATTAATACAAGTATAACTATATTTATTTCTATAATATATTATATTTAATAATATAAAAATAAATTCATATTAATAAAAATTTAAATATATATATACATAATGAGTTAGATTAATACGAGTTCTTAAAGGTGAAATCCAAGCTCCAACCCACTCTTATCTTTTCATTTACTTGAATCCGATCCAACTTCATCATACACTTTAGCAAAGAAAAAAAGTAATTAAAATTGGGTTTAGTTGGATTCATACGAGTTCTTGAAGGTGAAATCCGAGTTCCAACCCACTATTCTCTTCTCATTTACTTGAATCCCGATTCAACTTCAACCTACACTTTAACAAAGAAAAAAAGTATCCAAAATTCTGTTTAGTTAGATTCATACGAGTTCTTGAAGGTGAAATCCAAGCTCTAACTCACTATTCTCTTGTCATTTACTTAAAACCAGTTCAACTTCAACATGCACTTTAACTATAAAAAAAAGTATTCAAAATTAGGTTTAGTTGGATTCATATGAGTTCTTGAAGGTGAAATCCGAGTTTCTGTAGAGACCCGAAACTTAAAGAGAAATAAATTCATAAATTTAATATGAAAGTGATTAATAGAGTTATAGTTTACATTTCTTATACAATAATTTTAAATGTCCAATAGTACTACGAGAATATTCATTTTAAAAAACAGACAAAAATTAAAAATATAAAATAAAAAGTGAATAACTAAACATCCTAGGACAACATTCGCTAGCACTTCAAGGGAGTCTGGATAATGAGCTACTCATAACTCTCTTACTGATCGGGATCTGGATCTTAGTACTCTTGATCTAAAATGGTTAATGAAATGGTGGGTTATATTAACCCAGTAAAAATATCACACTAATCACATATACAAAAAATTGAATATCGGTAAAAATCATAAAATAACTAATAGAACACTTAATTTGAGTAAATTCATTTAATATAAAGAAAACCATTTATTTCGTACTTAATGTAACGAATTTTTCAAAAATAACCTATGAAAACTTATATCCATGTCACTTTTCACTTTCACACATAAGATAATGAGAAACAATAATTTTCCTTTCTTACCTGTTTACTGATACTTTTGGGGGTCCATAGGTTGTCCCCCTTACTCATTAACCCAATATCCAATTTTAACAATTAACCGGCAATCCTTATACATTATCTAGTAATGGGTGTCAAATATTTCATCGTCTCGATACCCTGTTTGGTATGAGGGTGAACCATATCTCCCAAACCTTCCTAATAAGGAACTTCCTAGCTCCGTCCGACTGAGATAACAATCGCGGTAAGGTTTTCTATGCACCGGTTCCGTCCACCCTTTCCTTAAGTACCCAGTAAGTCGTTCACATAAAAATTCTCATAGTAAACACCCAATAAACTTATACCAATATCTTATATCATATTCACATATCAATCAAACTACATTCATACTGATAGTATATAAACAAAATAACTAGATGAGTTGATAAAACTAATGAACTATAAATTAAGAACATGTGCTACATGAAAATCAAGTAAGTAGAACAGTATAGAAAAATAGAGAAGAATCAAGATAATTGTGAATTAACGAATTCCGGTTCCACTAATGACCTGTAATTATTTTTAAAATTTTCTAATTTTTCATTAAAATACAAAATTATACATCGTTAAGTCTCAATTTATCGTAACGGAGAATAAAGTGAGGAATCTTTATCTGGATCGGTG